CTGCACGCTCACACCTTCCCTGCATCCACAGGAATCCCTAAAAAGGGCTTCCACCAAGCATTCCCCATGAAGGAATTCTGCTTCCTAACGACCCAGTCACAGAGCACTGACTGTGAGAATCAGGACACTTCCAGCAGCACACTGAGCTTTAGACTCTTCTGGAAACTGTCAACAACAAATCCTGAAGTGCTCTGCTGGCTGAGAGCAGGGACTTTGGTGAACATTTTGGTGAACACAGAACTTGGCCACGTACCTGTTGTATGTTTTCAAGATGAGCAGAACCACTGTAAAAATGATGATCACTCCTACCACGATGGCAGCAACTATTGCTCCAGAACCTGGGAGAGAAACAGGGAGGGGATTAAAAAAAAAACCCTTATTTACAAAGTTGTCACTGTACTCCTTGAAGTTTGGTAAGTACAAGGTCCACTTAAAAAATAAAATAATAATAATAAAAAAGCCACCAGCTCATTCCTTTTCTTACTTTGATAGAGACTTTGTTCTTGAGACTTTGTGGTCACATTCCCTGAGAGCTGGGTGTTGTTGCTCAGTGGTGTGGCCGTCGTCATCTTGATTCAGCTGCAGGGGGAAACAGGGGAGTGAGTTCATAAAACATTAATGAAATATCAACCCAAGTTTGACACTGATAATCAGGCAACTGTCCATTAAAGGGTCAGAACCTACTAAGTGAGGGTTCACCCAGCTGGGGTTCTTAATGTTTTTCACTGTGGTGAAAATCTGGAGTGGAAATTTCGCCCCAATCTTGAGCAGTTTGCTTTAAAATATCCTCTGTTTGGTATTAAAAGGATAAAATAAGACATAAACATAATGCACTGTTGCTATGTACCATTGCTGTTTGGAATAATGCATATTTTAAAAGCTTTAGGATTTTTAGATTATCATCTCAGGTTAAGAGACAATTCTGCACCCAGAATTCAGCAATGTGTCTTGAGGGAAGGGGAAAAGTCAGCACAGAAAGGCTTAAAAACCCCATTCTAAAATAGAATTTAGAGCAGTTTCATTCATCTGATGTGAAGAAGCCTGATTTGAAGCTCCAGAAGTTCCATGGCAAACAAGAGCTCACCCCAGGACAGGGTCACTGCTGTGACAGAGGGTTGGTGTGAGTTCAGCCCAGCACCTCCCTCACCCCGGTGTCACCTCAGCTCTGTTGTTGGAAGCGGACAAGCTTCCAAGTGGACAGCTGAAAATATGCCTGTTCCTGGGTTTGGGTTGGGGTAAAACTAGATCTAGAAAGAGCAGCCTGGATGTTTATTGATTTTTTTAAGCCTTTTCCAAATGTTTTCTCAGTGTACCTGGTAACCTGAGCCGTTAAAGGGCTCCTTCAGCCCGAGAGGGATGTGAGCACCACTTCCAACAGCCCTCTGGAACCACTTCAGCTCCCAGCTCCAGAGAGCTGGGACACTCCAGCTATCCTTTGAAAAGTAAATTATTCTTCAACACTCGATATGGAATTGAGTTTCCCATTTCAGGTGCTTCCCAGTACAATCAGGCAGGGCTCTGTTATACTCCGCTGGGATATTGTGGCCCTGTGGCATGTTCTTGGTGCAGGTAATTTTGCACAGCACAAGATACCTGACAGCCAGAAATAATTCAGCAGATAGAAATCAGCTGGTAATGAAAATAACTGGGAATCTGACAGGCAGCCTTCCCCCTGGGGAGGCTTTCCCAAAGGTTTCTGCAAAGTAGCCTCTACCCAACACCACACACACTGGCAGGGCACAGATTTGGGAGGCAGGAGGACACAATGGGATGGACAGTGACAGGCAGGGGGTTGTTTGGGGAGGGCACCAGCTGAGTCAACACACGGTGTGTCCTTGGGAGGCTCCGTGGCAGGAATGAGAGGGATCAAGAACCAGCAGGAAGGGAAGCAGTCAGGGTTTGCCTGGGGATGTGGGATCAGCACTGCAAGGTCCATTTCACCAAATACTTCGATCCCCCAAAGGTAAAAAGTTTGTGTTTCTTCTTTTAATCTAAACCCCCAAAATAACTCTGTCCTGAGCCTGTAACTGGGTCGTTCTCCTCTGGCTGAATGATGCCTTTGTTCAGCCCAGGCCACGTTAATTCAGCAGCACCAACAGCAGCTGCAGATCTTTCAACAAGGAAATATTTTGTGTTTAGAGCTTGCCCAGCCTTGTTGTGCAGCACAGGGAAAGGGTTCACACACACCTGGGGGCACCTGAGAGGTACCAGAGCTCAGGGAAGAGCTGTCCCTGCCCCTCCACACCACTCGAAACTGTGGGGATGGGGGTTGTACATTGGCAGCAGAGGCTGAAGAGCCTATCCATCCATCTGCAGGCTGGGGAAAGCTGGGCATGGGCAAAATTCAGAAAATTCAGAAAAAAACACGTCCAACTCTCACCTTCTGGCTCCTGACCAGAAGAGCTCAAACCCCAGGCTCACAGGAGCCTTCTGCCCCTCCTCCGGCTGCTAAAATAAAAACCTCCAGATAAATAAGACTGAATAGTTTGATATTAAGTCATGTAATACTCCTGCTTCCTACCTTCCACCTGGTTCAAACCACCTTGAGAAGGGTTGAGCTGTTTGAGCATGAGTCACCCAAACCCAAAGGATTTTTATTGTCGTCAGTGAAACCTCCTGTTTACGAAAAGGATTAATTGATCCGCCAGGGTGGGAACAAACAATTGGAAAAATGCATCAGGTCAGGTTTTTTCTCAGTGGTGCAGCAAGTCAAGAGGTCCAAGGCCTGTGTCTCCAAGGTCTGTGTCTCCAGCCAGGGCAGGAGGGGCCTGTCCTTTACCTGCAGCAAGTCCCTGCCCCGGGAATCAGCAGGTTCCACCTGACCAAGCCTCTGCTGCGAGACTCAGGGACCCAGCAAAGCCCAGCAAAATCCCTGGGAACCCACTGCTTTTGGGGCATTGCAGCCTGGATCCCACTCTGTACAGAAAAGCACCTGGAAAGTCAAGAGTGCTGGACAAAAGCCGTTCAGCAGGGGAGAAGAAATGGACTTTGATACAGCAATCACAGGACATTCCTTCTCCATGACACACCCCTGCACTTCCCCCTGTGCACACACACCTGCCTGGCCTTTGAGAGCCTCTAACTCACCCAGCCTGGGGGTGGAGGCTCACACTGCTGGTCGTTTTACAGAGCTGCAAATGTTTCCATAAAGTTCAGCTTCGGGCCCCTTTCCATGTAAAACACCTTGGCAGACACAGTGTGTAGGTTGTTTTGGCCCGTGGGAGCGATGCCCCCGTTGGTACAGCCCTCCTGCCCCTCCTTCCCTGCCCAATTTCAGCTGGGGGGCCCCCCTTGCTCCTTCAGGATCAGAGCTCACCCATCAGCAGCTCCTGGACAATTACAGGAGAGGGGAGACAGGGAACAGAGGGCTCTGTTTGAGTCTTTATCCAGGAGAGCTGGGCTTGGAGAACCAACTCCCTGCCAGGGAAGGCAGGTGCTGGTGAGGAATGCACCCAAATTCAGTGCTTGGCCACCTAGAAAAAGGTGGGGTTTGCATCAAGCACCTTCCCAGCACCCCTGGGAACATCAGCAGGGGATTGGGACAAACGGTGATTTCAAACAGAGGTAAAAACACCACGTGCTTCAGTGGGACCTGAATGTGCCCAGATCCACCCTGAGGGGCTCTAAAGAGGAAGGAAGGAGGAAGAAAACCCCGAGTTCAAACTGCTGGAGGGGAGCTGAGGCAGAGCTGTGGCCTCGGGGGTCTGTGTGAGCCCCTTCGTGTCCCCAGGTCAGAGCAGCACCTTCCTGTGTTTGTCTCAGGGTCTGGCACGAGCTCCCCAGGTTTAGCTGTTGTCAAAACACACATTAAAAGCTTTCCATTCCCTCGCCAGCCCAGAGAAAGCTCTGCAAACTGCAGCAGCTCTGTGCGGCAGCAGCACCAAGGAGGGGAGCTCAGTCACCCTCCCTGGCTCGTGTGGTGAGAGCTCCTGTCGTGTTCTCCCTCCCTCAGCTCACAGAGGTGACAAGAGCTGAGGGAGGGAGAACCAAACCCCTGGGAAGAAACCCCCTCATTTCCAGAGCCACACCTGGGAATATGAACCCAACAGGCTTTTGTCTCTGACTTGCCCAGGAGCAATGCATAAACTAGGCTGTGAGCTGCACATTTCCCAGTTCTAAACCTCTTTTTTTGCTTTAAAATTCAGGGCCACACACATTTCTCCTCTCCCTCTGGGTGAATGGACTCATTCATGGGAACGACAGCAACTCCACCATGTGCAGCAAAGTGCATTCAGACCCTAAAAAACCACCCCAGACCCTTCAGGGTAGGGCTGCCCATGCAGGCAAGCCAGGATGTGGAAGCAAAACAAGCCAGAGGTATTTTCCCACTGGTTACAGGCCAGGATCTGAGGCACACTGGGATCAGAAGCCTTGTGAAATATCCAACAGAACCAGGGTTTGAAGTTAGAATGGAAAAAACCTCAGCAAGCACCACCACCCTGCTGGAGCTCCTGCAGCTCTGAGCCTCCAGCTGGGCACAGAACTGCCCAGGGGGGGCTGCTGGGTTGGGCTCAGATGCCTGTTCTTAATTTTTGTGCCTTTTAAACCCCCTAAATCACCCCTTTTCCCCTGACAAATATCATATGTGTCACCCAGAGCTTCCCACCCTGGACCCAGGCAGGATTTACTGCTTGTCTGAGCTTCCAGGCAGGAAATTGGGATGCATAAAACCCCCTCTCCATCCAGAAATGCCAAACAGACCCGAATTTTTCAAACTAATACATCATCCAAGAGAAAAAAGGTCTGTTTAACCTGCTGTGGTTACTTAGTGAGGTCCTTAAAAGACATTTGCAATAAATCATTTGGTCCCTTGGCTGCATTTGCAGGAGGTGGAATTACTTTGTTACTTAGGTCTGAAATAATTCAGTAAGAGGAAATGGAATAAGATTTTAAACCCAAATTCCCAGTTACATGCAGTGCACAGAGAGAGCTGGGAGCAAACTTGAAGCTTATTCCTGAAAGGAATGCTAGAGGTTGTCTTTTGTTGGCAGCTTTTTTAAAATGATTATTAGAAAGCTCTTATTCTACATTTTTGGCTTATGACTCTACACACAGACACCAAATTAACCAACTCCAAGTGATGTAACCAAGAGCTGGAAAATGAGAACTCTCATGGGATCCAACTCACTACAACAAAGAGGGAAAGATGCAATGATCTGGTTTTGGGAGAAGAGATTCCTGTCCAACAACACTGAGCTGTGTCTCCAGACATATTCCCTAGGAATCCTTAAGGGTTCAGCCATCCCTGCACAGATTCAACAGCTCAGATCACAGGTGCTCCTCTGGAAATCTGGATACATCCCCCCTGCAGCAAGTCCTGTGCTTTCTGGAAGGGATTGGAGGCACTTCTACACTACATGTTACACCAGATGGGTTTGGATACACCAGCACATCCCAGAAATGCAGCTCCTGTGCTGGAGGCAGCTCATGAGCAAACAATTCAGCCAAGGAAGTCACCAGGAGAGAGAGAATTCACCGCACAGAACGAGGCCCGAGGCTCATTCCCAGCTCACCCGGACTCAGCAGGAGCTGGGAGATCATTCCATGCACAAAGAGCTCCACAGAACCATATCCGTGAGCAGCAGCTCCCACCAGTGCCTGCAGCACAATTAACCTGGGATTTGGGAATGAAAAACGGGGTCTGGTGGGTTACAAGACCCACCACAGCAACGGGGGAAGAAAATCCACCTGCACTTGTGCACGTGAAGGTGATGGTTGTTAGAGCAGGTGCAAAGCATCACAGGAGCCCCAAAACAAGACACAGGAGCCCAAAAACACGACACAGAAGCCCAAAAACATGACACAAACCGGACTTTTTTGCTTGCAGCAAGGCAGTTCTGCCCACTGCTCACATCCCACACTCCGGGAGCGTTCCTGGGAACGCTCATCAGGCGGGGGGCATGGGAGGGAAGGACATGTAATCAGCAGTTAAATATTACCCAGAGAAAAAACTGATTCAGAGGGGAGAAAAATGCCTCCAGGCACCTGCAGGAATCTCTCAAGGCAGGAGTGGCTCCTGGGGGATGGTCAGTGAGACTTGAGGGGACAGATGTTGGAGACCATCAGTGTGGGCACTCAAACAGAAAGCAAGAGGATTAATCCAAGCTGAGCCCTCAGTTAGAGCCTGGCAGGAGTCAGTGGCATCATGCCAAGCACCCCCAAATCCCACCAGCCAATAGTTTATCTCTGCTGTTCAGAGAAGTTCCAGTGAAGTGCCTGTTGGTGGCAAGTTCTGGACAAATGAAGCACAAAAAAGCAGCTCATCCATGAGGACATTTCCCACAGCGGAAAGTCAACCCCGCTTTGGGCACGTAACCATCTAGAAAAGGCCCTGCCACTGCTCTGGAAAAGTCCCCACAGCTTTTCAGATTGCTGGAGGAGAGAGTTTAAAAAAAACCCAACACTGCAGACTCAGCAATGTGTTTGCAGAAATGCTTCCCAGGCTCTCAACCTCCCCGGATCTGCCATTTCCCGAGCGGGTGGAGCAGCTCAGGAGGTTGGGGAAATCCTCTCTCACCTGCCATTTTCCATCAGAGCATCTGCTTTACTCCAGGCAAACCCTATAAATGCTTCACAGCAGGAGAGAGGGGGTTAGGGCTGAATTTGGAGCTCCCCCACCCCGAGCTGTGTTTCCTTTGGAGAGCAGATTGGCACAAACATGTGTGACCCCACACGGCTCCCGTGGGCTGCTTTTCCTAAAGACAGGCACATCTGCTGGGCCAAGGGTTTTGAGGCTTCCCTTGCAGGCTGATATATCAAGAGGGAACTTGCCTTTCCAAGGGATTCTTTGGGTTTCTGCAGGAACACAGCAGAACCTGTGTGATGCTCTGGGTTGGCACCGTGGGCAGCCTGAGCCCCTCGGGGCTGATTCATGGGCTCCTTCACCCTCCTCACCCCAAGCACTGCCAAATCCCACCAAAGAGCACCTTCCCAGCAAGCCCAGAGCTGAGGGGTTCAGTGCTGTGGGATGAATGTGGGGGTTTGTTTGCTCTGGGGGCTGCCCCATCCAAGTGGGACTGTGGTACAGGCAGAGCCCCTTCCCGTGCCCTCCCACCCAGCCTGGCACTTGAAGCAGCTGCACCTTCAGCCTGGTGGCTGGGCAGGGGTAACCCTGGCTGGTGTCTGCCCTGAGCACCTGACAGCAAGGGAGGACTCCAGGGCCTCTGGAATTGGGTTGTAACTTGGTTGCTCCGTGGAGGTGGTTGTGAAAACACTCAGCTGTGTCAGTGGGAAACCGGGTGACTCAGACATCCCTGCAGCTCTTTCCCTGCTTTCCCTCCTCTGTGATCTCCATTCATGCCTCACATCATCCCTCCCTGCAAGAGGCCTGACCAGGGCTATAGGTTTGAGCTGCGTTTCCTGGGGTTTGTGGCTCTCCATGAAAGCAGCACAGTCACCCTCCACCACATTCCTTCCCTCTCCCACGTGCCCAACACCAAACCAGGCCAGGCCAGGGCAGGGCTCATCCTCTACCCCAACCAAACCCCCTCCCAACACAGTGACCCCAATCCCAGCCTGGCACGAGGGCATGGGAACCCAGGGTGTGGGATGTCACCCAGAGGAACAGGGGCTGCTCTGGGCAGGTCCCAGCACCCCACAGGGTGTTCACGACTGGGGGATTTGCCCTCAGAGCACAGGAGCTGCTGATCTGAGAGCCCTGTGTCACCCATGGGCTTCTCCAGCTGCCCTGGGCACTAAATCCTGACTGATTCACTCTCCATTGCCACAGGTGAGGAGAAGAATTCAGTGTAACTGATAAAAGTCACGCTTGCAGGAGCAGCAGACAGAGAGGAGCTGGGCTGGACAGCAAAGCTTCAGGAATTCCTGCCAACAAGGCAGCCAAGCCTCCTGCCAGCTGTGGGCCAGAGCTTTGGGAGTGTTGTCCTTGCTCAGCAGCTCAGCCTGAGGTACAACAGGCTCCCCAGCTGCAGGGCTGGACCTGCTGCAGCTGAAGCTCTTCAGCAACCAGAAAAATGCAAATCCCAATCCTTTTGTGAGAACCTCTGAGAGCTTCACATCCTTCAGGTTCTTCCGTATTAAAAACTATAGAGAGACTCCTGGATGGAGTACAGAGACTCCTGGATGGAATATCACAGTGTCAGGGGGCAGGGTTAGATGGGATATTAGGAAAACACTCTTCCCTGTGAGGGTGGGGAGGCTCTGGCACAGGTTGCCCAGAGAAGCTGTGGCTGCCCCATCCCTGGAAGTGTCCAAGGCCAGGTTGGACAGGGCTTGGAGCAACCTGGGCTAGTGCAAGGTGTCCCTGCCCATGGGGAGAAGAAGATGAACTTTAAGGTCCCTTCCCAACTCAAACCATTCTATGACATAAAGACTCTGTATACACAACACAAGGAACTCTGTCTGCAACAGAGAAATGCAGCTCCTCTCACTTTGCAAACAGCAGCACAAAAGCAGTCACAGGATTTCTTGCACATGCTGACTTGTTGAATCAGTGAGGCACCTTCCCCTCTCCCAGGAGCCCTTTAGACAAACACACAGGTGGTTGATACCTCATGTTTTCAGCCTGGGAATCCCTCAAGTCCAGCCTGGCACCCACAGCCTGGTTACCTCTCCCCACAGAGAGACAAAGACTCTGACAGGCTGTGGAGTCACCAGTCCCTGCTCTGCCTTTGTCTCCTGGTTTTAAGCACTAAACGAAACCCTCCTGCCCAAAAACTCCAGCCCAGCCCAGTGTATCACAGCAGTGAAATCTGTTTACAAAATGCTCTGCTTCCTTTAGCAAGGACTTCCTGGGGCATTAAGTACATAAATTACCAGGAAAGACCAGAAATCGCCGTTTAAACCTGTCAGCAACTTCAGCATGTTCCCAAATAATGCAAGCACTGTAGTTCAGTTCTGTGCTGGAGACACTCAGCGAGCTGTAACACAATGCTCTGAGCTTTCTAGTCCTTCTCCTGCTAAATATTACTTTGCCAGCCCTTTCCAGCCCCTCAACAGATTAAAGAAAAAGAAAACCAAAGCCACACACACACAACAAAACCACAAACAAAAAAAACCCACCAACAAACCCTTATTTATAGCGCTGGGGTTGAATAAGTCAGGAGAGCAGAGATCCAGCGTTTCCAGCGATGAAAGGACACCGCCAGCGAGGGAACAACCGCTCCACAGCCGCGCCGAGTTCTCTCCGGGGAGGGAACAACAGCTCAGCCCCAGCCCGTCCCTTCGAGGTTTCCGATTAATGGAACAACTGCTCGAGCACCAGCAGAGCAGGGTGAGGGCATCTGCTCTCTGTTTCCCTCCGGCTCAGAGCTGCCCATAAAGAGCTCCGCGTTTGCAGCGGTACCCGCGCACAAACCCGGGGCAACCTCGAGCACAAACCCGGGGCAACCGTGCCCAGGATCGGGTGTTCGCAGCGGCAGAAGGGCGCAAACAGGGAGGGTGAAATCGGTGGTAAATCAAGAGCGATTCCCCCGCCGCGGGTACTCACGGAGGATGCTGCGGGCTCGGGGCGCTCCCGCGGCCGCTCCGGCTCCTTCCCCCGGCCGGGGCTCGCTCGCCGCCCCTTGCCCGGCCCGGGGACAGCCCGGTGCCGCTGTCGCTGCCGCCGCAGCCCCGGCACAGCCCCGGCACGGCCCCGGCACTGCCCCGTCGCCCGCAGGTGCCTCCCCGGGGCCGCCCAGCCCGGCCCGGCCCCCGGCGCCGCCTCCGCGGGTGCCCCCGGCACGGGCGGGCAGCGGCTGGGAGGGGATGGATGATGGAAGGCTGATGGATGATGGAAGGCTCTGGGATACGACCCATTCTCCCCCCCCCCCCCAGCTCACAGCCAGAGCGCCGGAGGTTTGGGAACAGCCCGACTCCCGCGGCGTTTCAGTGCCCAAAGGTCTTCCAGGCACTTCGGGGGAAGGATCCCAAACGCGTCCATCCCGGGTGGTTCTGCCCACTCGTCAGGATCAAGCTGGAAAAGAATCTTTGCCTTCAACCCGTGCTTCGACGGCTTTATCCTGCGTTTCCCGCTAAAGAGTGGGGAAGAAGTGTGTGACCACAATCCCTATCTGGATTTTTCCTGTGGAAATCCCACTTACAAAAGGGATCTGCCCCCTGCCTAGACCTGATGCTGCTCCCACGGGAAACCAGAAAACCACATGAACAAGCCACAGCCCTCAGCCCAGGCTCGGCTCGTGGTTTGGGATTGTTGTGCAGATGTTTCTCCCCCCCTCATCCTCCAGTTCAGCTTCCCCAGCTGCAACCAGAGCCACCATCCCTGCAACAACCCACCTGAAACACATGGATGGAACCTGCCCCTTACAAAGTCCTGCCTCCACATGCAAAGGCAGCAACAGGGGCATCCCAACAGTCCATAAACATTTGCAGTGGATTTCTTGGGAAGACCAGAGTACGGCACAGCCTGAAAAGCTGGGATGAGGAAGGAGATGTTTCCTTACCTCGCAGCTCTCTGCTTCTTCCTGGGTGAGAAATGTTCACTCTGGGTCTGTGCACTCTGATCTGTAGGTTCACCACATAAAGCACTTTGGGGAGCCACTGACAAAGATGTCAAATATAAACATGAACTTGCACTTAGAAACCTGAACTTGCACTTATAAATCTAAACCTGGATTTATAAACCTAAACTTGGATTTATAAACCTAAACCTGGATTTATAAACCTAAACTTGCCTTGGTGCCAGTCAGTGCTTGCACCAAAGAGAAAGCTACAGCCACATGTCCCATTTGAGAAGCTGGTGCTCAAGTCCAAGTGAAGACTTAAAGAACAACCAAACCAGCACAGACCACCACAGGGAGTGGGAACTCACCTCCTCCAGAAACTTTTGTGTTCCCAACACAGGTCATGTTCAGTTTGGTGCCCACCATGGACTGGTTTCTACACTGCACCCCAAGCTGAACCCCACAGAGGCTTTCTCACCAGAAACCACATCCAATTATTCAGCAATTTTCCTGTACAACTACAAAGACCCACATTAGTCACTTCCAGCTCAATCCTTTTGCCTCAATCCCTCCCCATGCAGCTCCTTAAAACCAGAGACTGAAGTCTCAGCAGGGATTACTCACCAGTCATCTTTTCAAGGGAATAAATTTTGCTTGATTGGTTTCTTTTCAATTACTGCCTCATCCTGCATGAACAAGAAGGAACATGAGGCTCTCCCAGGAACAGGAGTGGTTTTCCAGCCACGTACCTTCCCTGGGCTGCATCTCTGGAGAGCACAAGGGGCTTCGTTCAACAGTGAGCAACCATCACTTGGAAGAGGTATGAATGCAAGTTAGTGAAAGTAATTAATAACTCAATTTAAATAGTATAAGAAAGAAGGCAGCAGCCTCTGTGACTGTTGGGTGGATGTGGAAAGAAGAAAACGTTCTGTGTTGCTACCAAGCATTGGCTGGATGATGTTCCTCCCTTGCAGAGATCAAAGTCCAAAGGAGAATTCAGATCTCCTGCTTCTCACTGCTCTGTCCTGATTAAGGACATTCCCTCTGGGACAGGTACCTGAGGAAAGAAAAACCCCTTGCTTTAGAGAAAATCCCCCTGGAGCTTCTGTTTGAAGTCTCATCCAATTCAGGGGGTCCCCCTGGGAGGAACTGGCACACAGCAATCCCAGCTGGAAGCAGCCCAGTGTGACTGTTCCCAGGCACCACAGTGTGCTCAGCATCCTTTAAGCCCTAAACCCCCCCTGGATTTATGAGGTGCTGCCCCTGCCACGACGCTCAGGAGGGTGTGAACATCCACGGGGACGCCAAGGACGAGCCCAGTAAAGGCAAATGTGAAGCAGCAGAGAGGGAGGGTGGGACTTTCCCAAGTGTTTGCTTGGGAAGAAATCCCTCACCAGGTCCTAAATTTGTAGCCCTTTACCATTAGCTACAGCAATAAACCCACACACTGGGTTTATACACCGTTAAATGTGTAAATACTTATAAATGTTTATACACTGTTGTGTATAAAGCTCTGCTGCCAACACCAGTTACCCAGTTTACAGCTCCTCAGCCACCAATCCTGATCTGTTCCTGTTAAGAGGAGGACAAAAGGAGACACTGGGATGCTCCAGAACAATCCTGACAGAGTCAGTGAACGCTGAAAGACGTAACAGGACTCTCAATTAACTACAAGGGCTGCTACAGCCTTACAGAAGCCCTAAGGAAGATAAATTCCCTGAATTTATCCATGGAGAAGGTCTGGACTCCTCCAGGGCAGGTCACAGCACCACTGGTTACGTTTCCTGCACTGAGCAGGGCAGGGCCTGGGACTGTCTTAGTGAGAACAAAGAGAGAACAAAGGCAGAGCAGAGATATTGCAACAGACTGACCAGAAATTCATCATTACAGTCTGGAATTGTGTTGTGAAACTGGGACCTCAGCACTCTACACATCCCCACAGCCTCAAAAGCCATTCCCAGACAGCCCTGCAAGGGCTGGAGCTGAGCTGAGGGGACCTGTCCCAGCAGGAGAGCACAGCCCAGGCCCTGCCTGCTGGGCCGAGCCGTCCCGACAGGGACACGGTCCTGCACAGTCACAGAGGACACACAGTTTGGCATTTTGGTATTTTATGTAACAGCAAACCAGGAGTGTCCTTCCCACTGCCTCACCCTGGGACTGCTGATAGCTGGGATATGTTCAGTGCAGCAGGGAAATCAAACGTTCCCTTCCACAAGCCTGAACACGCCAAGGTGTTAAAAATGAGAGAGCCCTCGTTCAGAGGAGGATTTTAACACATCAGTTAACATTGGAACACGGAGTGTTTTTAGTGGGACTCAGCACAAACACAACCTAAAGCTAAAATGCCTAAAAAAGCCCAAGGTCCCACCCATCCCTCCACTCAGGTGGGCACATGGTAGGACACAACTCCAGTCCTGGTCTTTTTTAATTGAGATAAATTAAACAGAGCCTGTGAAACCTTCCTGGAGCTGAGTGTGAGGTGAGGGCCAGCCCTGTGTCACACCCCATGGGGCTGCAGGGGCAATACCTACAGGAGGAGGAGTGTTTTATCCTGCTCTGCATTTTCTCCAAGGGAATGAGGCTTGGCTGGGGTCTCCTTCCACATTAAACACACACTGGACCTTAAATCTCTCCTAGAAAGTTTTCCACTCAGAGCAGAGCGAGTAAACAAAGCCTGGCAAGATGAACATAACAGTCTTCTGTTCTGGGTTAAATAATCCAAAAGCAGACAAAAATGGAAGTGAAACCTTTCAAGGAATAAATGAAGCAATAGGCATTTTATCCATGAGGCCTTTCCAGGGGAAGCAGTTCAGCAAAGAGGTAGAATGAGGAGCTGTAATCACATGTTTGCAAAAACAGGGCTTGTTCTCAGCTATTGGGAAATAAAACCAAACCACCTCCAGCAACTGTAAATCCAGAAGACACAGGCCCAGAGAAACACCACACATTTCAGCTGCTTCTCGAGGAAGCTTTAAAGGGATCTGGGGTATTTATTTATCTGGGGTATTTATTTATACAAAGTGCAGGCTCGGAAAGGGCTCGAGTTGGTGCCCCTGTGCCAGCCCTGCTGCTAAAAATAGCACCCAACAGCAGGTCAGTGATTCAGAGAAACAGGTTCTGGTGGTTGTTACCGAGTCATGGCACGCAGCAAATAAAGCAGAGTTGAAGTTCCTTCACTCCCAAGGCAGGGTGTCACCCTGGAGTGACCAGAGCCACTTCTGGTACTGACCCATGGCCAGGACTCACCTGCTCCTGATGTCATCCAGGACAAAAGCCCATGGTTTAGTTTTGTGGATCAGTGCATCCCACATTATTTCTGTAAAGTCTGGCCCTTTCTCTCCTGTGGAAATGGGTCTTGGGAGATTTTTTGAAAGCAAGGAAATATTTCTCTTAATTGCAACAAAATCTTCGCAGAGCTCAGGACTGACCCAAGTGTCAAACTCCCCTGAGGACTGACCTGGGCTGGGAGAGGCCCCCAAACCCACCACAACCACCCTCAGTCCCTCCTGCAGCCCAGCAGCTCCCAGGATATTTCTGCTGAAACCCCCAACTTCTTCACTTCCCTGATAATTTCCACATGGAAAACCACAAACAGTTATTGGGAGTGTTCACTCCAGGCAGACACCACCGTTAAAAATCTTACATATTTTATATATCAAACTTGGTCCAACGTGGAAAACAGCTAAAATCCCAAGTGTGAATGGCACTGCATTGTTTTATTTTAAGTGTCTTTACACAATGAGAAGTGCTGGAATGTTCCACATTTTACACGTTTACACATCGACAACATCACACTTGCTTTGCCTTAGAAAACTGTTTCTGAGGGTTTTCCACTTATTCCTACTCACAGCACCTTCTACAGTGGGGTAGAAATCAAACAGCTAACAAAATATGAACAACACAGAGAATCCAGACAGGCCTTCTGGAGTTTTAAAAATCCACAAGCCTGATGGGTGATACAGGTTTTTGTTGGGTTTTTCCCCTTTGTTTCAGTACCACAGAACAGTGAGACAGAGAAGTTGGTCTTTGAGTGATTTTAATACCTGAAGAGATACATAAATATCACACTTGTGGAGGCAAGGTGAACAAACCCCACTTTCCTACCTTTTTAATCTCTGCTATTCCTGCCTCTGGAACAAGGACCTGCCTGCAGGATCCCACTTTGCAACGTGGAGCTGGTGGTGGGAGGGATCACAATCCAGGACAACACAAGAGCTGGAAACTCCAGCTCCATCCATGTGAATCCCTGACCATTCCTGTTCTCTCTGCTGTCAGCCAAGTGAGAACACTTTGGAAAGTTCAATAAGCACGTCGTGAAAGACTGAACCACACTAAAATGAACCCGAAAAATCTGAATTTCTGAACAACTCAAATGATTTCTACACACAAACATCAGCAGCCTGGTTTGTTCACAAATCATTTTATCCTCTGAAATAGAAAAAAAAAAAAGAAGAATCTGTCTAGACTAAAAAAGTTTGGCTATAAAATAGCATAAAAGCACAGGAGCAGGTGTTGTTATACCAAGGCATATTTTCCTCCTACTAAAAAACACTTAACACAAAGATCACAAAATCAAAAGATCTGTATTCTAAAAGATGCACCCTGCTCTCAGAGGCAGCAGATGCTCTGCCAGACACGCAGGATGCCACACAGGAAAACAGCAAACAAGGGCTGAAACTGCATAAGAACTGGCTAAGCCAGGCAACTGATTGTCTTTGAGAATACAAAACAGACTGGAGAAGTTAAAAATTAACCCTCAGCATCTTATCTCCTGACATGACCTAACAGTCACTGCATTATCCGGCCCAGGAGCCGCCTCCAGGACTGGACACGTTCAGAGAGGATCAGAGACAACCCATCCAGCAGCTGGACCCATATTTTAATCTACCTACTGTAATTAACTCCTAATGAGGTGTCAGTGCAAACCAGCAGTGCACCACCCAGAGCTCAGAGCAGGAGTGTTGGTGACAGACTCAGTGTGTGGCTCTTCCCCCGTGCAGCCACCAAACCCAGCTGGGTTCAGCTCCATCCCTGTGTTTGTGCCTCATGGCAAATCACAAACACTGTACTTGGCATTTCTGAGGAAAGCAAAGGTTAATCCTCACCTCAGCTGGGAAGGAGTTTTAGCACAAAGAGTGCATTTCCCTTGTGTTTAACACTGTATTAACTGGAAGCTGTTGGACCAGCACAGATCAGCTTGAAGTTGCTGTGCAAGGAGCTTTCTGGAACCCAGTCACGACAGCAAGAGATTATTTCAGCACTTGGTACAATCACACTGTACAACAGAAACAAAAAAGAGTAACATCCTAAAAAAAACCAAACCCAAAACACAACCAGACTCCCTAATTGTCACTATTTCAAGTCAGGTGGATTTGCTACACTCGGGGGGGAGGGTGGGATGGGACTAGTCCCTAAAATTAAAGTGCTTTTCAGAGCATTGGCATCCAAACTCTTGAGCATGAGAGACAACTACAAGTCAGATCTGTTGTCGCTACAGCAGCAGCACAGACATCGACACATGGACTCAGGAGTGTCTGGTGTTGGTACCCCCTGGAGCAGCTCAGCTCTAGCAGTGCATGGTCCCCCCCACCTCCAGGGCACACTCGAAGGCCTTGGAGTCGCCCAGGATCGTCGGGGGGGGGGTCTGGGCGCCGGGTCTGCAGGATCTTCTGTTTGGGGTTTTTGATCTCCTCCTCCTCCTCCGTCTCGCTCTCGCACACGTGGACGACGACGCTGGGGGTGGAGTCTGTCCCCGCGTGCAGCTCGTACTTCTCCCCTGGGAGCAGCAAACAAAAACCGGGCTAAAACACCCCCAGGGCAAAGCATTTAACCTCAAAAGCTCCTCAGTATCCCCAGCGGCACAACCAAATATTCCTCTTCGGTTTGCTCAACCCCCACACTTGACTGAACCTCTTTAAAACAGTTCCATGGTCCTTGGAATACAATCAGCCTTTCAGCTGGTATTTAAAGCAAGGAAGGGATGCTAAAAACCCTCAGGAGCCACTGAAGACATCAAAGCACAAGCAGCACACACGTTTTTAAGTGGCATCACTTATGCTGTACATTTTGTGTGACATTTGTAAATGAAAACCCACAAAAGCACTCGAAAAGGTTAAGCCTCCATATTTCCTGTTTTTCACAGAAAGCAAACACCATGTTTCCCAGGAAGGCTCAGAAAGAAGTTGATGATTAAACCCAAAAAGTACATATTAGCATCTCTACATCCTTAGTAACTTGAGCTGCCCATCTGCAAGAGACTGAAGTTCTCATGCCTCTTTTATAGTTTGTTCCTTAATGCTGAGACTCTGACAGAATTCAATATATGGATGTGATGGAGCCAGTACCACACAGGCCAGTCTGTGCTACTCTTTCAACCAATTAACTAATTAAGTAAAAAAAGTGATGGATCATTTCATTCAAGGAAGAAACATCACATAAAAGAGACCGAGTTTCTTCTCACACAAAGATAAGGAGATAAAATCCCTCTATAACCATTTTTGAAGTTAAGCATCACAGCAAAAGCAGGTCAGTGTTCCCACCTGGTCCCAGCTTGGAGACAGCACACAGCAAGTCATAGTTTATCAGGGGAGTTGCATCTTCACTCTGTTTCCACCCAACTGGTGGAGAGGCAGGGGGGGAAATCAGGAACTGTTTGACAGGTTGTGGAGGGAGGAGGTAGGACTTGTCACCTATTTCACTGGATACCTGCACCTGAAGGCAAAACCAGGAGACACAGATGGTAAATATTAATTCCCTCTTTATTTAGTCCCTTCCCCACTAATGCTTTTCCATCCTCTGCTTTAGCAATGCTCCATTCAGCCCAGCTTTAAAAATAATTTCCCCCAGGGAAATGCTGCAGTTCAGAACTTGGCCTGTGCAAGTGCTGCCAGTGCTGATCCAGCAACAACATCCCTGCAAAGCACCTGTTATATGGAACATTTTGCATCCACTCCTTTCCTTTCAGCACATTTCTGTTAGGAACAGCAAAACTGCCCCTAAAGGGTGAATTTTATCCCTGTCAGTGACTCCCTGACACAGCTCAGTGCAGGACAATGAGGTTGGAGGTGACTTCTGATGGTATCACAAATGGAACTCTGGGACAAAGGAGGAATAAAGGGACAGGGACACAAGCACAACATCTTTGTTCCCTCACACCTGTGCAAAGTAAAGCTTCAGCTTCTTCCCACTGAAGTCTGTCTCGTGCAGCTCTATCCGTGCTCTCGCTGCTGCCTCGGGATTGCTGAAGTTTATCCTCACCCTTCTGAAGCTCTTAAACAACTGGAATGTCACTTGGTCATCATAGACTGTGAAAAGGGCTTCAAACCTCTCCTAGAGATGAAGTACAAACATTCTCCAGACACAAAATGAACATTTTCTCTCTCTGGGAAAACACACTGCCCTTTCACCTTCCCCTCCCAAATCCCATCCAATTCCTTCATCTCCTCAACCTGCCCACCCCACACCTCCCTCAGTTCCCCTGTAAACCCGTGTTCAGTGCAGCAGCTTTGTCCCAGAGCTAAATCTGAATTCCAAGAGCACCTGGATGTGAACAGAGACCAAAAACTCGGAATACACAAACTGCCACCTAGTGAGAGAAACTCGAAGTGCAGATCTCCAAAAATTCACATCACCTTCCACAAGGATTTCCGTGGGAGCAGCACTGTGTATCCACTGACAATTCCAAAGGCCAGGGAAGAGTGGGATTATCTGCTCTTTGGTAACTCTATTCATGCTGCTCTGAGCTTCCCAGGAAAACACTTTGGGTTGGGTTGTTCCCCCCGTTATAATGAGCATTAACACACTGAAAATCCAGACAAAAATGTTCAATAGCTGCAGCTGCACTTCCAACCCCACACCCTCCTCCTGCCTTACCTTTTCCTCCTGCACCTCAAACACAGCTTCGTGGACACTGCAGGCAAAGAGGGAGGTAGGCAAGTCACTTAAATCCATCATCTCTTCCAAATCATCTTCATTTTCCCCAAAAATCATCTGCTCCTCCTCCTCCTGGTCGCTGCTGTACAGGTCTGACTGGCTGTCACTCCAGGACTTCATGGGATCCCTCAGCATCCTTCACCCACTGCAGCTCCTGGGCACGGGCCAGCTTCCACCAGGGCTCTGCCATCCCAAAAAACACAACCCAAACTGAGGGGAAGGGCAGCACACCACCCTGCCCTGGCTGGGGAGGCAAAGAATTTTACAAAAACAAAGAAGAGAAGTCACCCTGACATTTGTTGTCACCCCCAAATGGGCAGCACCACATCCCAACCCTGCAAGGGGAGCGAGGACTCTGCTGCTCAATCAAAAGGAAATTAAAGTTCATTTTCTGTCAAGGAGCTGAAATTCCTCCTCCCTTTGCCCTGACAGAAATCCAAAATGACAACACTGCTCTAGAAGCTTTCCTCCATGACACACTTTGCACTGAACAGCCATTTCTTATTTAACAATTAAAACCCCTTCCCGAGTCATCAGAGGGGTCTTCTGATAGTTGAGGAAATAACTTTATTTCCTCAGGTGCACAGCAAAGTCAAACCACCTCTCCAAAGCCTCCCCAGGCACATGTGGAACAAAATCTAAAATCTCCTAATGGAGGGAAATTTCCTTCTCCTGAGCACTGGAAAATACCTTTCCTTCCCATGGGGAAGAGTGTCTACAGCTGTGAGTAAACACATCAAGGGATTTAAAAAAAACATGCAAAAAAAAAAAAGCAAAAGGCTAAATAAAAGAGTTTAGGGAGACTAGTTTTTATACAGCAAAAAAAAAAGATTTTAAAGGAGTGTAGTACCTTCTGCTACCTGCAATAATCTTGAGGTTATCACACTGCAAATGAGAGAAAACATGGAACTGCACTGGATCTACCTTTGGAAAGAGTGTTAATTTATGACATAACACTAAAAAAAGATAGGTAAATATATGGTGTTTCATTGGCAATGGTCTCATTTGGAATATCAGCTTATTCTTTTGAAGCAGACACTGAGAAATGCCATGAACTGAAACAAAACCACATTAAAAATGCAGAATAAACCCAGTCTCACTCATGGGAAAACATTTAAGACAAGATTTCTAATTAACAACACACAAACACTTTGGACTTAAGGCGAAAAATCACGTAAAAATGAGGGAAAAATATTTAGGATAAATGGTTTTAAGTATTTCCAAACTGCTCTGGGACACACCCAAGGTGTGATGCTCCATTAAATGAGTTAAATCAGGGGAACAAGAGCTGTTGGAAGGATCCTGTGCTCCTGTAACTGCCCCAGTCCCTGTCACCCCTTCAGCCAAACCACCACAAACTCGGGCACAGACCTGGGAACATTTCCTGAATTTCCCCAGGAAAATATTCTCAGTGTCACAGAAAGGATGGAAATGCAAGAAAATGAGTTTGCTGGTGGAAACCTCCTTCTTTTGTGCTCGCTGATTCACACAAGGAGGGGACAGAAAAGGGAACAAAAATGTGCCAACGAGGGAAAAAACAAAAGGCACCATCTGGCTCTGGGAGAAATCTGGGCTCAGCAAACAGGGCAGCAGGACACAGACACTCCTCCAGTCCAGCCAAGGTGGAACTGAGAGCAGCATTCCAGCCCTGGATTGCCTTTGGTTCTAAAACACCAGCTTAAAAGACCTAAAGAATGCATTGTGGGGGGAAAAAAAATCTCAGTTTTTCCTTCTTTTTCCGAATTTGGTTGAAGTAATTCAGAGAATTATAATTAAGTTCAAAGCTCCAGCACGAGGAGGTTCCAAAACTCTGAAACTCCTTTTGTATTTTGAAAAAAAAAAAAAGAAGACATCCATGTTATTGCCACACATTGTGGTGGAAGAGAACAGGGCAGTTTTGTAAAGAAAAAAGGTGACAAATGGAAAAGTAAAAGGCAAGACTGATGGTAGGGCAGGCAACACAATTAAGGAAAGGTCTTTGCCAAATCGACTCAGGAGCAGGAGAGGGATCAATAACAAACAGAAGTGTTTGCAGACAAGTGCCAGGAGCTCAGATATCCCAGACAGCACACACACAGTCAGAGAGGAGGGATGAAAAAGGAAAGGGGAAAAAAAAAGCCAAGAAAAGAGCCAGAGCACCCAGCTTCTTTACAATTAATTTCTGCACCACTGAACAATTCAAGTTCCCTGTGAAGTGGACAGAAAGTGATGGTTGCACAGTCACTGTGACTGTCAAGAGATGCACACAAACCCACCCAGTTATCATCTTAACACTGAACAAATTCAGCTGGCAGCCCCTGCATCTTCATTCTGTGCCCTGATTCGCTTCATCCAGCTCCCTGTGAAAAACAGGCAACCAACCTCTGCCCTCCTGCCTCCAAAACACAGGGGGATTAAACCAAATGCACATCTGGGTTCTGGGCACAGAGCTGAGGTGACAGCCCTGCTGTCCCTGCACTGCAGGCCTGCCCTCTGCTCCCCACTGTGGCATTTTCCCATGTGAACCCCTTTCATACTTGGAAAATCCCAATTTTTGCTGACCAGCATCACGGCACACATCAAATCCTGCAGGGGAACTGTTGCACTGAGGAGATGCTCTGCAGGTCTGCAGAGTTTAAGAATCCTGATGGAAAACACCCCAGCTCTTGGTTAGATGCGAAACCATCAGGTTTTAAGATTTGAACACAGCAGGAAAACACCTGACTGGGTTAAATTTTCTGCCCTGTGAAAAGGCAGCAGGTCTCCAGTGATGAGTGTAAATGACACCGGGGAGCTGGGGCAGTTTAACCCTCCCCGTGCCAGGAAGCAGATTAAATTCCTTCCTCAGCCAGTAACACAAATTTAATTCCCAGAAATCATCTCATTGCTTTAAAGAGCAAGAGTGGAAACCTGGACATGGTTAAGCTGCAGAACACAGTGCAGTTATTCCCTTTGAATTCCTGCAGCTTGCAGGGGAAGGGATTTAATGGAATCAATTTTAGCCTAAGTTAGGGAAACATTTCAGCAGCAACATCAACAGCTCTGTGTAATTTCCAGCACAGCATTTCCTGCTGTAAAACCAAAATCTGAAAAGCTTCTGTAGAGAACACTGAGCTATAAAAGCTACTTCAATTATGCTGTGGTTCTTCCTTCATTAAGAATGCATCATAGTTCTATTTTTTTTAATCATAAACCTACAGGGTTAATTCTGGGTGGTTTTTTTCTCAGATTACTCGTTTTTCGTGACTTCACCCAAATCAGTATCAAAGCACCTGGTTACTGAGCAATGCAAGAATATCCAACACCTTCCCTGGCATCAGATGAGACAGGTAAGACTGGTGTGTGAACGTTAATTAACAAGTCCAGTGACAAACAGCCCTGTGAGAAGTGATATTTTAAAGAGATCACGCAGAATTATTTGATTATGCAATTATTAAACCAGAAGAAGGGCACTCCAAGCTTGACAGGTACAGGAATGTGATTATCAGTGCAACAGCCAAAACACTCTGATTCACCTTCCCCAGGAAAAAAGGGAATTTCTTCACTTACCTCCCTGGAAAGGTGAGAGGTTCCTACTTATCTATGAATGGAGATATGCAAATGCAAATTACAACCAGCTAATTCCTGTTACGATCAGCTAATTCTTACAAGAGTATTAACTGCAATAAACAAATTAAAAGCGATTTCACTGCAATACTCATTAGCAAACTATTTGCTCATTTCATATTTAACACCCTCACCCAGCTCGACTGAGAGGATCCCAAGAACTAAAGCCACTGGGATCAGACCTTTCACTAAGCCCTTTCTTCTGGGAATTAATACCTGCTTACCACTTAAACACCGGGTGACAGGGGCCGCTCAAACACTCGAAAGCAAACTCTCCCAAGTTCACGCAGAGCTAAAAAAAAAAATCTTCTGAAATTTGAGCGAAGCAGCTTCTGCCACCGGGGGCTTCAGTTCTTCCCCGGCAGCACCGGGGGGGTTTTCCTGGGCTGAGCAGGAGCAGCAGCTGAGCAGGAGCAGCTCCCTCACAGTCACATCCCACCCTCCCAAAAACCCTCAACGCGAGGGCTGCACACGGCGATTCCTACAGCAACAGAACCTCCCCGAGGAGCTGAGGGGCAGAAATGTTTCCCTGTGAGGGTGGGGAGGCCCTGGCACAGGTTGCCCAGAGAAGCTGTGGCTGCCCCATCCCTGGAGTTGGTGGCTGCCCCATCCCAGGCCGGGTTGGAGCAACCTGGGCTGGTGGAAGGTGTCCCTGGGCTGGTGGAAGGTGTCCCTGCCCGTGGCAGGGGGTGGCACTGGGTGATCTTTGAGGTCCCTTCCCACCCCACGATCCCACACCCCGTGGAGCTGCCCCGGGCGAGCGCAGGGGCCGGGGGGGTCACCCCCCTCCCGGGCCGGAGCCCTCGCTGGGGATATTCTTTAATTAAAACCCCCCCCCAAACCCTCGGGATCCGCCCTAAGGGAGAGGGGAAAAAAAAAAAACAACCCCACACCAACAAAACAACAACTTCCCCACCCGCGGCTCGGAGCGCTCGGCCCGGCCCGGGCCTCACCTCACCTGCGGGCGGGGCGGCGGGAGCGCGCACCGCGGTGTCCCTGCCGTGGGGCGGCGGGAGCGCGCACCGCGGTGTCCCTGCCGTGGGGCGGCGGGAGCGCGCACCGCGGTGTCCCTGCTGTGGGGCGGCGGGAGCGCGCACCGCCCGAGGCGCGGTGTCCGTGTGGGGCCGGGGCGGCGGGAGCGCGCACGGGCAGGGCGCGGGAGCGGCGCGAGAGGCGGGAACGCGCCTGCGCGCGCCACCCCTCCCACCTCCCTCTCCTTCCCCTTCCCCCCCCGCGCCTCCGGGAGCGGCGGGGAGAGGGTCGGTGACCCGGATGGAGGGAGGGAGAGAGGGAGGGAGAAGGAGAAGAGGAGGGAGAGGGAGTAAGGGAGGGGAGGGAGGGAGAGGGAGGGGAAGGGAGGGAGGGCCGGCCCCGCGCGTGCCCCGGCCCCGCTGAGGGGGTCGTGCCGGGCGGGTCACGTGGGCTCGGCGATGGCTGAGGCCGGGGAGGTGGCGGTGGGGAATTTATTTAAATGTATTTAAAAATTCCGCCCATCGCCCTCGGAGCTGCATCTGGAGAAGAGCCGGCGGCTCCGTCAGGGCCGAGCACGGAGGAAGGAGCCGCTTCAGAGCTGCCCAGAGGAGCTGCGGCCCTGGGAGAGCCCGAGGAGAGGTCGGAGCAGCCCGGGATAGCGGGAGCTGTCCCTGACCCTGGAACCGGATCGTCTCTAAGGTCCCTTCCAGCCCAAAGCATCCCACGATTCTGGGATAGCGGGAGCTGTCCCTGCCCCTGGAACCGGATCATCTCTAAGGTCCCTTCCAGCCCAAACCATCCCACGATTCTGTGATTCCACAGTTCAATCACCTGTTGACGGAGGTTGTCCCGGCAGGGCCGTGGGTGACCCTGGGCAGGGCGGGGGGCTCGGGGGGATGCTCCATGTGCCGGCAGAGATGCTGCTCCTCCAGGGGGGGTTTATGGGCAGCCCTGGCCAGCTGCCAGGTGGGAACAGTGACAGTAAATCTCGGCTTTAATCCCAGCCGTGAGGCGGTTTGAGGCAGCCCAGTCATCTGAGCCGGCTGATGAATCGATGCCTGCGTCCCTTTACCTCTCAAAACACAAAGCAGCGTTCCTTTGTTCGGCCGCGTTTGGCTATCGGATTTCGGCGACACAAACATTTAGTTTCAACGGCTTTGTCCTCGCTTGGAAAGCCAGAAGACATTGTGGGCTTTTGACATGAACGCTATAAATTTCTGTGGTTGAAATGCTTTTTATCCTAAATTTCAGGGAGAAAGCGGCTCTCAGCTGGTCTTCTCCACCAGGCTGGTGATCTATTTGTGCACAGGGCAGGCCTTTCCCTCATAAGGAAACAGCAGAGCAGAACTCACTTTAGAAAGGTAAGATCAGTCTCACCTGCCCAGATAAAGGGATTCTGCAATTTGGATGCTGTGCAAATTCAGGTGGTAGTTGGTTACTCTCAGTTACCTCACCCTTCCCTTGCTGCAGTCAAATACTTTATTGTTCCAATACCACATTCTTCCTCCCTGGCCAGCAATGTATTCTGCTTTAATACCACAAACTCCCAACGTTTATGGCCATTTCAGAGGCATTTTAAATACTTCTGTCTTATTTGAAATGACACCTCCTTAGTAGCACGTGTTTCTGTAATGCTCCTGACATCTGGCTCAATTGCCATCACTTGATAGTAGCACTTAAAACACTTGTCTGTTATACAAGACACTAACCCTTAAATGATTGATGTCAACAAATTATTACCACATTTATCAGAAATTCTGGGGCTTGGGGAAGCTGTTTTTGCCAGCATTGTCCAGGGATTCAATCAAGTGCAGCTCTTTAACACCAAAGCAGCTGAGGCTGCTCTTGGATTGTTTTTGGGTTTTTTTTCCCCTTTGTGGTTTGGGACCCCAAGAGATACATTTAATTAAGAGTATCCTGAGGGTTATCCTCTTATCCCCCTGGACTAAAACCCATCTGTTAAGTGTTAATTAAGTTGGCAAGCAGTCGATTAAACTGCATCCCCACTATTCTAAATTTATTTACGACTGTCTCTAGGTCTCTAAATGGCAGTGAAGCTGCTTCTGTATCAAAGACATGGTGCCCTGGAGCTGAAGGATGACAACTCCTCCAGCAGAGCATTCCCAGCTTGTATCAGAGAGCTTGGCTGTCTCAGAGAACAATTTCAGTAAAAAACTCATGAGTCAAGCCACCAATGATTTTGGGGTTGTGTCTCCCCAACTCCTTTAGATTATCCTTGGATCACATTTTCAAGCTCTTCTCCAAAATAATAAATGCTAATTTATTTATTTTTTTAAGCCCTGTAAAACCAAGTTTTTTAAGTAAATTGCCCAATTCCTACAGCTGACACCAAATACTTGGACACTCATGTAAAGCTGCAGCCCCAAAACACATCAATCTGCATTTCATTTATGAGTGTCCTGTTAAAAAACAGACAGACAGGCCTTTCAATACACATTTTAGTAAAATAAATTCTGCCTTAACTTCTCTCAAGACATTTAGGGCCAATTAAAGCTATTCCCAGAGCATGGAGCAAGCCAGAATTCTATCAGTTTTACAACCACCTTTTATTCAAAGTTTCATTTTACCACAACCTTTTTATTTAAAGTTTCATTTCCAAAGGCCTCACCTAAAAGACAAACAGAATTAAACAGACATGCAACATTGCCTGTGAAAAATGAAGCAGTTATCCTGATAGTGCAATGCTGTAAAGCTTGATTTATTTACACATTTTTATGTGAACGAGACAACACTGAAGGCAGGTCATTTTATACATTCAGCCAGCACAGGAGCTGTGCTGCACAGCATTAAATTACACAGAAAACACACACTGAGAGTGTATTAAGTGCTCTGGTGCATTGAGAAGCCACACAGTGTGGAGGCAAAGAGATGACAGTTCACACTGGATGAAGAAGCCAGAGACAGAGCCAAGGAGCTGTTCCACAGTTCAGTGAAGGAAACAGCTCCTGGTGCTGAAAACTCCTTCACCTTTGGGAATCTGTGGGTGCTGTGCTGTGAGCAGGGCCCTGCCTCCCTGGGGGTCACCTGCAGGGCTGACATTCACATGTTAAAATGTGCTGTGCCTCAGTTTTATTATTTTTCACTCTCCTTTAAACCTCCCTGTGCTGCTCAGCTGTAAATATTTGCTGCAATGACCATTGTCACCTCAGACTAACCAATACTCTGTAAAAAGTTCAGAGCTGAAGGTACAAATACCTTCCCTGTTTCAGCTTCTCTGAGCCAGAAGGGAGGTGAGGAGTTTTAATTCAATCCTGAGCTCTACCCTGCCACTGTCAGAAAGAGCACAGGAGTCCTACAAGTCAGGTTTAAATAAGATCCTTGGCCTCTCAGGGCCCTGCTCGTGCCTTCTCAGCTGTAAGACTGGGCTAGAGAGCAGAAAATAAGATTTTTTGGAAGCCTGGGAGAAAAAGCAAGAAAGGGAGAAGTACATAATACAAAAAAAACCCCAAAACAACATTTTAAAATTCAAGTGTTGAACACTAGCAGCAAACAGGAGTGAGGTGCAATCCATCAGTCCCACAATACAACCCCTCCCTCAGTGCCTGCAGTTGAGGCCCAAGGAGCACCTCAGGCTCTACTGATGTGGCAAGAGAATCAAAAATATTGTGATTTATGTGCTGTAGAAACAGACACCACCTCCCCTGGAGTCCTTTGTCAGGAAGTTTCCAAAGGCTGATAAAGGGAGTTTTTCCCTGTGGCTGCAGGTAAATGGAACTGTCATTATTGAGCAGAATTATTTGAACACACAGAGACTGTGTAAATAAAACATGGTTATGTAAAGCTTTGGAGCAAGACTCTTCTTTCAAAGATTCTAAAGGCAAAAGGGCCAAAACCACACACAATGACACAAAAGCTCAAGTTATGGCTGGAGGAAATTTCACTCAGAGCAGAAGTGCTGACACACCTGAGGGCTCTGTGCAGAGGGGAAGGTCAGGAGTCAGTCAGGGCTGGGGAAATTGGGGAGTTTACAGAAAAAGAAATCCCTGATTCAGGCCAGAGAGCAGCTTGCAGGAGAAGCACAGGCCAGGCAGAGCAGCTGTGTCCCCTGGCAGAGCACTCTGTGCCCACCTCTCAGGATGTCAGGGCCTGTGATGAGGAGAAAATAAACCCCAAAGCAATCATTTATTGCTGCAAAGTCTGTGCTTGGTCACCTGCCCTTTTTAAATACTGAGAAACCACATTCTGTTACACACAGGACCATCCTGAGACAGATGTCAACAGCAAAACATTTAGGCCTTTCTGCTGAATTATTTTATACCACAGCAGCATCTGTAATAATTAAACACAGAGAATATTGCCACGTTAAAGGTGTTTGTAGCTGTCAGTGGTTTAGCACAGCCTGTGTTCAAGCTGTGTTCTGTGGTGGCAGAACTAATAGGTCAAAACAGCCATTGCCTGGTTGATTAAAAGGGAAGAGATAAGGAAAGGCAGCATTCCTGTGCCCTTCCCATTCATTCAGCCTCCCTGCATGACTTCATTTGGCATTGTTAATGAACAAAAGCTGCCCATAAATTCACCATTGATTACCGGGATCCAAAGGCAGTAAATCAGTGTCACTGCAGCTCCAGCAGATGAATGAATGCT